GAGAGAGAGAGAGAGAGAGAGAGAGAGAGAGAGAGAGAGAGAGAGAGAGAGTACATGGAGGGTGAGCGTATAGCATGTCGGCGCTCCGCAAGGGGAGCGGGTCGTTTGAACGCTCCCGCCGCCGCGGCCGGCTGGGTCGATCGTTGTCGATAATTATATCGCGGGGTGGTGGCGGCTGCAACAAGGCTGATGGGGACCGGACCACATCGCGGCGACCGTGACATTGGGGGCCTTCCTGCCGCCCTTCGTCGCCTGCCCTCCTGCTCGTCTCCCTCCCCACCCCCCGGCCCGGGCCGCCTGCCGCAACATCGTCACCCTTGGATCTCGCGCGCTTCCCCTCCCCTCCTCTTCCCCTCCCCCTCCCTTCCTCCCCTTCCCTTCCTCCCCTTCCTCCCCTTCCGAGTTTGGATAAATGAACTCCAGAATGAAGTGGGGACGGAAGAGGGCTCGGGGACGGAAGCTGAAGGGGGATGAGATTATTAATAGCGGCTGGGGGTGGCTCATGCCGGGCTGGAGGGAGGATGCGAGGCGAGGGCGGCCACGGCCGTGTTTGTTGTCATTGCCGAGGTCGCCAGCCAGACCGCCCCCGCCCCCACCTTGTCGTCTCGTTTTTGCCTGCGCCAATAATGTCAAACCAGCTGAGCGCGCGCGAAAATTTGAATTGTCCGCCTCTTATGTACTAATTTTTTTGAACTGGTATTTGATAGAAATCGTCTAAATAATTGTTGTGGAATAAGGAAACATATTTGTTAAGATATGCCCAAGAATAATTTTTCATTTGCGCTTCTCGTTGTAAATTTGTCCAATTGATTAATATTCAAATATCTGATGAAAAATTTCTTTGTGATTCATAAACAATGAAAATGTTGGCGAAACTGTAGAAATCTAGCTTGGGCGGGCAGTACTGTATAGTCTTGGATCTTGAGGCGGGTCGGCGTCATCGGGACTCCGAGGCGGATCGCATGACCAGCCGTGACGCGCTGATTGATTTTTATTTTGGGAGTGTACCCACCCCTGCGGGGCCTCGGCTCACGTGCCAGGATAACGCCCCATGTGCGCGTCAGACGGGCGTCCCTCTGGCTGGCGGGGCCCCGGGGCGCGGCGGGGCGCGGCGGGGCGCGGCGGGGCGCGGCGGGGCGGACGCACCCGGGCACGCGCGCACCGGCACGCCTCGGTGATTCCATCGATTCCGTGTCCTTTCTCCCTCTCTCTTCCCCCCTTTTTCGTCTTCGGGTGAGATAAAGGAGCAGCTTTGACTGCTCAAATGCCTTGGCGGTCTTTTTAGACGGCAGTGTACTGTGGGACCGACTGATGATTTGATTGGAGGGCTCCACGTGTGTGGGTCCTAAAGTCCTTAAATCTCTCTCTCTCTCTCTCTCTCTCTCTCTCTCTCTCTCTCTCTCGTCATTAGCTGTCGATTTGTGTTTGCGAAGGTCTCACGTCTGATTGTTCATATGGAAATGCGGGTCTCATTATGGATCGTGGGATGAGATGACACGGGGCGTCTTGTCCTCGTCTGGCTGACGGGAGAGCGGCGCGAGCGAAAGAGTGCGAGAGAGAGGGCCAATGTGGGACAGCCTGCTCCGGACGACGCGGCCGGAAACGACATCACCGATGAATGCAATGCCGTCATAGAGAAAAGAAGGAAGTGGACGGACTGTTCCCATGCGACACACACTGTGAGGTCGTGGGCCTAATCGAATCACGTCGAGACAAGTCGAGAGCTCGAAGCGGAGGCCCCGTTGTTGCCGTGTGCGGCTGACTCACACACCCGTGCGAGAGACTTGCAAGCGCAGTCTGCGCCGGTGAGAGAGAGAGAGAGAGAGAGAGAGAGAGAGAGAGAGAGAGAGAGAGAGAGAGAGAGAGAGAAGAGCGACCGATCGCGAGCGAGTTTGTTGCCGCTGCGCTCGCCGCCCCGCACTGCTCCTGAAGATGCTCAAGTGCATGCGGGGGAGTTCAAGGATGAGCGAGTCCGACGATTTCTCATACAGGCCATGGCGCGTGCTGCCGCTGCTGCTGCTGCTGCTGCTGCTGCTGCTGCCGCTGCTGCTGCTGCTGCTGCCACCGCCGCCGCCGCCGCTGCCCGGTTATGGCGGCCGCGCTTCCGGCGGCACTGCGCGCCCCGCCGTAACGAGACCATTGTAGCCGAACATTAAACATGTTTAATGCCGAAGGGAGAGGGATGGCTCAGGGCCCAGAAATATGGTTGGCGAGGGGCTATTATTCTTCTTCTCTCTCTCCAAACAAGGGAGCCAAAGAGTCTTTTGTTTTTTATTCGTGTCGATGAAGCGTCGAATGGCGCCGATGGCTCTCGGGACGTTGTTGTTTGGTGGGGTGGGAGGCTGCTGCTATCGCATCGCGGTTCTCGGTCGTGCACATCCGACCTTGGAAGGCACATCATAAGAGCAGCAAGGGGAGGGCATTGATGTAATTGTTTGACCGGCCGGAGGAATGGTCCACAGCGCGCGGGCCGGGGGCCGATTGAGCCTTGAGATTGATGAAGAGGAAAGGCATTAGGGGGAGCGAGACTGGGGCCGGTGCTGTTTCTTCTTCTTATCGACACCGAGAACGAAACGAACTTCAGGTGTGTGAACTCTCTTGCTGTCGTGGAGCGGGTGCCTCCAGCAATGTGAGCTGCTCTTGGGCAGCCTTGATAAGCTCATAATGAGATCAGTAAACCCTATATCAGGTGCACTCTGGGGCCCCATCACCGCCGGCCCAGGTCCGGGGACTTGATTGATTGAGCGGGCATTACGGTGACATGGTTAGCCGGCCGGGCTGTGAGGCGGGCGCGAACCATTAGCATTGATCTGCTTGGCGATGAATCCGCGTGCGGTGTTAATCAAGGCGATCCTCCTTCGGAGGAACGGTTTGCTCCTCCGTCTCCTTCTCCGCTGCATCCGACGGCACGTGTTTGTCTCATGCTGACGACGCGCTGCCGGCTGTGTTTCTCAACGGATGGGAAAGGGGGGGGGGGAGGGGGTCCTGTCCTTACAACGGCACTAGGGGCAGACGTGTTGGGGAAGGTCCTGGCAGCAGACGCCTCATGGTTTCGGCGGACGACGTCGTTCGTTCCCTCTTGTCTCGTACCCCATACCATACTCCTTCCCTGCGTCTTCAAACCCGGAAGCTGAACGCAAGTTCGGTGGTACCTCGAACCTCGCCACGTATGACTTTGAGACATTCGATTGCATCGATGGATCCTATCTTCCGTACGGTGTCAGCCCTCGGCGCACACGGCGTCGTCAGCGGACCACGGGCGCTGTCGGTATCTTATTTAGACCTCATTATAAACCCTCGGACACCCATGGCTCGCGCTGTCGTCTGTCTCACCGTTTGAGACGCGAGGCAGCTCTCTCATGTCGCGCAGCAGTGGGCCCGAGGAAGGGCCCAAGCCAGCCGACGACGGGGTGGCGGGCGCTATATTTACAACCTATCGAAAGCGGGCGTCGCTCGATAACTTCCTGATCGATGTAATGGGCATGTCGAGAGAAAAAGAAATGAAAGAAAAGGAAGAAGCGTGTCGCTCTCATTAATATGCGCGCTACGAAATGAGACGGAAATGGAAAGAGGAAGCGTGGCGGGGCGTGGCGGGGGCGGGGCTCAAGGAGCCGAGAGTGCCACTCTTATCAACACCCCGCCATTGGCGCCGCGGCCCGGGGGCGCTGACGTGGGAGGAGAGAGAGGCCGTGATGGCGCGCTCAGGCTGCAACAGTCTCGAACCCAAAGAAGTGAGCCAGTCAAAGGTGTTTGAGAGAAGAGGGGAAATCGAGGTCCATTTGTTGTGGAAAGTGCTCTACTTGTGTACTTTACTGTTTTAGTTGGAAGTTATTGTGTGTGTAGTGGAAATGATGAAAGGGTTTGCTTGAAAGGAAGCTGATCTGATGAAATATTGGGATTTTGGAAGTCAAGGCGTTTTTGTATTTCGAGGGCGCGAGTGCGCGCACCTCTTGGCTGGCTATTTCGGCGGCTCAGTTTGCACGGAACATCCGCACACATGTTGGCCACATTGATAGGTTTGCCTCGGGGCCCAGCCCGGCCTGGCCGCCTCTGCACGCGCCACTGCCGCCTGCGTTTCCTTCCATTTAGGGAAGCGGCTGACGGTGCTGACGGGCTCGGTCGCACACCAGGCAACTTCCCCAACTCGAGGATTTCTCAAGGATGTAAAAGAACTGAGTGAAATGTAGGATGTTATGGTGCCAATTTTCTGCCTTAAACTCTGCGCTAATCTTTTAATTATTCGCAGCTGTTTTACTCTTTTGCGTGTGTCTAATGGTTTCTCTTCCTTCTTTGCAGGTGAGTGGATCTTTTAGATGGTGGAACAAAAAATGCGAGACTGCCTTCCCGGTGAGTCTAGCCGCAACGGCTGCACCCTTTTCTATTGTATCCTGGACTGTTGTCAAATTTAGAAACACAAATTTTTCAAAATTTTGATAGTAAAATGGCATCTTGAAGCAAACCAGTTGGATTGGTTAAATTTCTGCATCACAAAGTGAATATTTCGAGGATAGAAAGGTGGGAGGGTGGGTGGTGTTGTTGACATGGTGAGATCAGCCTGCTTCTTGTTGGCTCGTCTCGTGGCTCAAATCCCCCTCAGCAGAGAGAGAGAGAGAGAGAGAGAGAGAGAGAGAGAGAGAGGTTTAGTACCAAGTGGCGAGGCGCATCGCAGATGGGCGTTTTATAGCCAGGGCTTGGAATCCAGATCTGGGGTATTTTTAAACATAAAAGCTGTTAGATGAGACGCAATCCAACCCCTGCGCCCCGCGTGCGTGTGTAATGGAGAGATCTGGACCCGCCCAGATTCATATTTTATAGCTGGATTTTAATGGGAAGAGGGAGGCTGCGCTGCGCCCTGCGCCCTGTGCGCTCCGAGGGTGGGGCCCTATCCATCTAGTGGGAGCAGCTGTTTGGAGATTTGCAGACGGCCCGGCTCGTCTGTGTCTGACACAAGAGCCAACATTTCTTTCTCCTTTTAAAAACGAAAAAAAGTTTGAAACGAGAAATTGATGTTGGCGTGATTTCGTCATGTGTAGTGTTCAGTGCGGCGCCAAGTTACGGCTGGAAATGTGGCATGCGTCCTCCACCTGGTCCCAACGATGATGTCTCTTGATTCGAGGTCGAGGTGCGGTGCGGCAGGGGGACGGGTCGAAGGAACAGAAAAAACCAACAATGGATGTCGATATCGTATATTAACAAGTGCAAATTGCAGTTGCTCGTCCGTCATGCGCATCGCGTTGACACTAAGTCTCTATCAGGCTGCGTTCGAGAAGAGGTCTTGGTCTCTCGCTCGCTCTCTCGCCCCTTCCTCTCGCTCTCTCTCTTGAGAGAGAGAGAAAGAGGTGAGAAAACCGCGCGGGGCGCTGATCTCGGTGGGTGGGACGAGGACGGGTGGCGCTCGCACAAAAAGACAGCTGGCGCGTGTGCCGCGGTGGCTGCGTGAGGAAACGCTTCTTGGCCCCCTTCTGTCTCCGCGCGCGCTGCATGCGCTTTTCGTACGCGGACCCTGGCGGTGTGGTGTATGGAGGTAAGAAGGGCGGAAGCATCTTTTTTTGTGGCCTCGGCCCCGCCGCGCTCCGTACACTGCTAGTTTGATCAGAGAGAGAGAGAGGGGGGGGGGGTGACATGAGTATGGGGCGAAATACCATAGGGTTGGTGATTCAGAACAAAACCTCAAATGCTGTAGGACGTTTTTTTAAAAACAATTCCATGGTATTACGAATTGCGCAGTAACAACTGGCGTTAGCGGCTCTGTTATTGAAGTTTTAACGACGGCCTGCTGACGTGGCCTGCCGGGCGGAGTGTCACATGTAATTAAGATGTAATTGTTTATTGGTAATGGGCGGCACGACTTCATGCAAGACTGTGAAATGCGTGTGTCACAAAGGCATGACGCATTGGCCGAGAGACGCGCACTATTTTGGGACGTGGCGTTAGCGTTTTCCGATCCCCCTCCCCCATCACCGACCCCCCAACCTCCAACCCTCTCGTTTCTCTCTCTCTGTCACTCGAGCACCCGCCCGTCAGAGTCCTCTGCTTCCTTGGACCTTTAGATTCAGATGACAATTTGGCGTTCGTTTGTGCTCGCCTGTCTGCTTCGTCTGCTCTGTTCTGCTCCAAGGCTGCTCCTAATCATCTACGTGCCTCTAACTGACGATGAAGCAGCTCTGGGCTGATGAATTGGGATCAAGGTGACGCTCAAAATGAACGTCAATTAACATGAAATAAAACATGCTCTGCCGCCATGTCCACATTTTTCGAGAGTAACTGTGCAGAAAACTGCTGCTGCAACCGTCTTCGAAGTGCCTGGAAAGTTTCTCACTCGCAGTCTGTCGGATTTACCTAGGAAATCCTAGACAAAACGCTATCTGGTGTTTGGGTTGGCGCGGGTCGCGCTCCCGCACGTTCGCGAAATGAAATTCTATTTGTGTTGCAAAGTGTTCGACGGCCGGGAGGAGAGTTGCAGTTCGGCGGACGTGCGCAGAATACCGTCAACAGAATGTCGTGCTGTGTGTCGTACAAGGGAGTGGAGGCGTGTTTTAGTGTGTGCTCGGCTACCGACCTCTTTGCCGTTCACGTTCAGTGTAGTATACGGCCGGTGCTGCTGCTGCCACCGCCGCCACCACTACTGCTGCTGCTCCATTGATAATGTAAACGTAATTACAAAGTTTTAAACTTCGGAGCGGAGAATGTAGCGAAATCAAATAGTAATGGCGGACGTAAATCTCTCAGGTGTAATAGTGCCGTAAAGCAGTAGTAAATCACGTGCCTGGCGATGTTTACTCGCGGTGGGGCGCGGCGGTGGCGGTGGTCGCCCCGCTGACATGTGTCGGAACTGCGCGTTGGATATGGCCGCGTCCATCTGCCAAAATAGTTGAGTGAATTTATTCGCGCCCTTCTCTCGCCTCTGTGTCGCTGGCGCATTGGCCCCTCGACGAGTAGCGGAGGTGGAACGGCGTCGGGGTTAGGGTATACACTACAATCACTACATACTTTTGTTTTGTGAGACTGGCGGTTTTATGATTCGATTATACCTGCGCGAAGTGATCACAGTTGAATGATTTCCGGTGATCTCAAGTTTTATAGTAGACGGTTGTGAATTTGTCCAAGGTCCTTACCGGTTTTTCCTCGTGGCCAGGATGTGGCCACGTTTCTATTAAAATCACTTGACACAATCTGCACCGGGTTTTACCACCTCATATCAGGAGGATAAAGTTTTGCATTATGTTAATGCAAGGCAGATGAACTGATGTTGGCATAATCATCACCAATAAATAGTCGGTTGCGGATCAGAGGACAGATCGAAATCGTCGTGTTTGGAATTGCTCAATTTCTGATAGCCGGTCGGTACGGGTGGCCAGGTGTGTCGCCGTGTTCTCACGCGCCGCGGTCTTCTCTGCGGCCATCCCGCCGCTGAAATGGCCAACACATGTTACTTTGTCTGGCCTTTGGGCCCGCGCGCTGCCGTCTCGCTCGCTCCGCCCGGCTCCCTCGGATAGGCCCTCTCTCTCTCCCTCCCGCTGACAGGTCGCGAATAAAGTGTAATAATTATGATTTTAACGCGACGTTTACAACGCCTCTGAGACGGCCGCCAGCCGCCGCCTCAAACAAGGAGAACAAAAAACAAGCCTCTACTTTGTCGGGAGGGATTTTTTAAGTAATTGTCGAGCCTCTTCGGCATGATTGTTCTTTGGGTGTGTTTTGATTGTAAAAGATGCGCTGGTGAATTCTGTAAGATATGCCTTTACCCGGCGCCCAAATAACTCACACACAAAGGGAGGGTGAGAGTTGGGTCTCTGACGTCTGGCTCTTTGATGGCTAAAATATAAAACGGATTAAATATCCATTCCCATCGAGTTTGCAATTAATTACGGATTTTGACTGTTTTAATATATCACGTTTTTATTCGAGGTGTTCCTTGAGTTTAGGTGCTCAAGACCTTGGCGCGTTTTGAGTTTTTCGTGGCAGAACGTGAATTTTTTCCATATCTCGTCGAGATGGGATCAAATCAGCTTTGATAGTCTGGTTAAATAAAAATAATTTCTGGTGGTCACGGTTTCTTAGTTAAATCTATAGCAACCGTCCGAATTCCAGCTGGTGCTGGTGATGACTCAGTGCCACGATTCCGTCTTATTGTAGCCGCCCGCACTTGTCACATACGTCGACCATCTTTACACGCGGGTATGGGCGTTACACCATACGCGAGTATATAAAGATACTGGAGGACGTTTTATAGTTTCCTGTGTCCATTTTTTGCAACTTTCCAGGCCGCGCTGGCACCGGGAATTCTCATACATAGGGCTTTCCATCTTCTCGTTTTGAATTTCCCACCGAGAACGGTTTCCCAAATGGCTTGACTTACGTATTCTGAACTTCCATAGAATTTCACTTGAATGCCAAAATTACATTAAAAATCCTTGTCGCCCTTTTTTAAAATTTTTTTTTTTAACGACGCTCGATATGCGTACGCGACACGCCCACCTCGTCGCCGGCGACACATCTAATCACTTATGGTAATAATGCGTGGTAGTGGCGGCGCTTTGCTATATGGAAATGGACATATGTGTGTCAGGGCTCAGTGTGTAACATTCCGAGGCAAGCTGTAGTGCACTTGCTGGTGCGTATAGAGCAGTGTGAAACAGGGATTTTGTTTTGGAATATCTGTAGTGCTCCTCCCCTTCCTAGATGATCATTATTGTCAATAAAATATCGGAAGAAATGTCTAACAACTTGATCGCGATGAACCTACGTCACTTTTGATGGGCCCCGTCGTTTCGCATGTACCGTTCAAAGTCAGCCTGCTTGTCTTGTCTCGCTGCGTGTGTAACGTAATATGACGTATGGAATATAGTGTAATACAGACTTGCATCGGGCGGCGTGGTGAGGCGTGGCGCGGCTGGGGCCTAAAGCGTGGGGCGGGCTGCCTGGCTGGTCAGATTTTATGGCGTTTATGATTTTATGGCCACGCCGCGTGGCCGATTTCTTAAAGTTTAGTGTTCATGTGAGCCTTACCGTGTGGCAGCTGGGCTCCATGCAAGCGGTGGCTATTGGCTTCCTCGCGGCATATGATGCAAATGTGTGATCCAGTGCACTGTCAAAACCTTGCGAACGATTGTGGCTGCTTTGTATTTCTGAATAGTTTGTTTTGTATCCAAAGGAAATCCCTCGCAAATTGTAGAGAAGTTTCTTCGTGCGGGCTTCTAAAAGCAGCCAAATCCTCCACATGGTGAAGAAATCCTTCGCAACAATGTGCAGGAAGGAATGTCTTTCTCTAAAGATCATACAGTTTGTCGTGGATTTTCTTGAAGTACTTTTTTGTATCGGCACTGATGAACCAAGTATGGAACTGCTTAACACTTTTACTGCGGAACTCAAAGTTGAGTTCTTGTAAGCTGACTTGTAAGTGTGCCCCTTCCCTGTTGAACACCTCCTTAGATGCTCGCTTACGGAGTGCGAAGTTTTAAACAGGGGAGTTGTGCACTTATAAGTGCATCTATTAGTGCACAGGTTCCGAATCGAACAATTGTAAGTGAACTACTACCTAGTTTCTTGAAAGTATTCCACTTGCATTCTTACCGGTGTTCAGTAGTTGTACTTTTAGGTTATCAGTGTATTTTTCTCTCTTTTTTTGACAATAATTATATATATATCTTAAGCCGGCAGTTCCAATCACGACGGAAGCAGATTTACCCCCCAGGCAGAACACTAACGACCTTTGTGACGACGCTCGCTTGTGCCGTGCGATGCGATATTCACCGTGCCGTGTATCAATTGGAACGTGGCACACTCTTAACTAAACATTCACACTAGTATTTTCAAATTTCAGCGTAAAATATTTCACGTCGGGAAATAAATGCATGTCCATTTGCAATCCTGTAGTAAGGGAGTCATATCGACAATTTCTGAGATACCCTCTATATGCCGTGCATAATATTTTAAGTTTCATCGTTGATTACTTATTCTTTTTTTCTTACTCGACGATCGTGGTCGGTGGCCTCCCACAATCGTACTGGCCTGACTGGGTTTTGATGAGTAGAGCGTCGTCGTTCGATTGATAAAAACTTTAACGACTCTGCGCAGCTGGGACACTTCGGGCGTGATAGCCCCACCCCCCCTTTTTCCTCCGATATTTGGCCACGTCTTCATTGCCGTGGTGGCGTGACTGACGTCACCTTGTTCCTGGAATAACAAGTGCGATTGAATTATAGCCGTCGGTAAAATTGTCTCCGCAATCGATTCGATTCGCGCGGCCTCCGCATCGGCAACATTTGTAAGGAGCCTTATACCCTGTATAGAAAAAAAGATCGCGGCAGAGAGAATGAGTCGTCAGACACGTGTATATATGTTGCGTTTTTTCGTCTCCCTCTCTCATGAATTTGCGCCGTAAACATTTTTATTGATTTTCGAATCGGGATGACTTGTCACGATCACATTGCTATGCTGGTTGTTTTGATGATAAGTCCACGACGTCGTTGCCACTTCGGCGTGGAGAGAAAATTTTACAAGTATTGATGCTCATAATTATGATTCACAATGAAAAGATGCAAGATGAAAAAGAGAAAAAACTTTTAAAATTGAGTAAATCAGTATTTTTAGTAGAGGAAAAAATTAAAAAGTTGTGTTAGTAAAATGGTATTTTAATCAAAAATATCTAAAAAGCTTTTATCATTTATTAATCATTATTACAAAATGACCCTTTGCCGACGCTGGCCGGTGCCGGCTTTTATTTGTACGCTCTGCCCCCTTTTCCCTTAGGGCCTAAAGCCTGCCGCACGGTGCGGTATAAAAACTCAAACCAATATTGTCGGAGTGGTGCGGGGCGGGGCGGCGTGTTTGCCAGCCTTCTGGCCGGCGGTCGGCCTAAAGACGGTGGACTCGAAGTGCACGGATGGAAAAAGACCGCACTTTTCATCGCTTTTCGAAACGCTTGATCATTGAAAAGCCTGGCGAAATTGCCCCCTTGGCTGGGAGTCGTATCGTCTTTCCTCTGGGACGCTCATTCTTTACTCTCGATGAAACGTTTGACGAATAGAAAATCAGTCGGAGACTGTGGTGGAAAAAGTGAGCTTCGCTGTGTGGGTCCGGTGGGGCGTCTAGGGCGGGCGGATGCGAATGACCAGAAGCAAAATGGCTGCCATCCGCGCTACTGGCGGAAACGAGAAGGGAGGAGTCAGGAGAGAGAGAGGACAAGGACCTGACAAGGACATGGAACGAGTTCTAAGGAGACTTGAACGCACGGGCTTAGTGTGTGAATGTCGGGCACTTGTAGTTGTGTGAATGCCCAAAGAGAGAGGACAAGGACATGGAACGAGGTTGTAGAGACTTGAACGCGCGAGCCTAGTGTGTGAAAGTCACGCATTTGTAGGTGTGTGAAGTCCAATTCGCACTCTTTGGGACAGAGTAAAGGTGTGAATTTTCCTTTGAACTTCGCACACTTGCAACCAGCAACAGCAAGTGTACGACGGTGTTGGCATGAAAATGCAAATAACTATAGAAGTAGCGACTTGCTTTGGTCCCCAATGTGTAGTGAAGCACGTTTTGCTGATTTGAACGGGTACGTGTTGCGCGAAATCTCGATGTCTGATCCGTCTCAAGGCTGGCGAGTGAGGCCATGCGTTACATCGATGCGCTTTAGGGCCCACTTACACGAAAAGCCCCGGCCCGGCTCGATAATCGCAGCAACAATTACGCTAATGGCCGCCCGAGCATTGTTGTACACGCCCTTGTTTAATTATCGGGACATTGTATGTGGCAATTGTCAAACAATAGCCGTTTTGTTGTGTGGTGATTGTCGAGGCGCTGGCCTGGGCCTGGGCCACCTATGAATTCACGTGAGTTATGTATTTGAAGGAATAAGTTTCGAAATGAGCGCTCTCTCTGAACGTCTAATCGCTTATTCCCTGTTTTTCACGTGTCCATGCTTGCTTGCTGGCGATGTAGAGCCATCTCGTATGAATGACGCGAAAGCTGAAAACAAACTATAACGACATTTCGTCAAATTTAATTACTTGGCACATGTGTCCTCGCCGCCCCCTCCTCTTTTTATAATTTATTTCGTGCAAATAATTGACCGCGCGAAAACAGTCGATTTTAACGACTGCTTTCAATGACACGATTTGGCCCGAGTCACGGACTTCATTCGATGCCACAAGTAATGCTCGCTAATGGAAAGTCGCGCCCCACCCCGCCCCACCGCGCGCGACCCCGCCCCGCCCCACCCCGCCTCTCCGTGTCGCCCCAGTCGAATTAGAAAGTCGTTATGTGTTCCTCTTGGCAGGGCGGTGACGAAGACGGGTCTCCTTTTTTTCCCCCATTCCTTCGCTCCTTCGGGGCCACCCGTTAGCACAATATTGGCCGAGCGCGCTTCTCCTTCACTCATCGAATCCGTCTCTCTCCGTCGCACTAGTTGGCGGCGCGGTGGAGAGAGAGAGAGAGAGAGAGACAGAGACAGAGAGAGGAGGTATCTGTCTCTAAACACTGGCGTTACAAAAGAGGTAGTAGCTTGCCGGGTGGTCGCATACCGCCATACCCCCATTCCGAACTCCCTTTTCACGCTACGTAACCCGCTCACACGCGTCTGTGTGTGTTACACACGGGTGCCAATTCCACTGAACATGGTGGTTTCTTTGAGCCTCGAGATTCAGGTGTGGTAGGTATAGGTAAGTTAGGGTGCATGTTATATTGGGTTAACCTGTTAGAGCGGGACGTAAGAGTTTTCAAGGGAAGACGCAGACTATGAATGCCTCTCTGTCTTTGGAATATAGTGGGGGACGATATGCAGGTTCACGTATCATGAAATCCATTTTATACCCTTCCCCAGTCCCCCCCTCCCCTCCCCGACGGGACGGTGTTGACTAATGACGGTGTTTAATGGGGCCGACAGGTACGGGTCCGTCCCGATTAAACAGAGGCCCGCCTGGGCCGCTTTGGCCCGCCGCCGTGCCGTACCGTCTCGGCTGATATGGAAATGGGTAGCCTCGTTCTCGTTGAAAGTCTCTCTCACTGCTGTTGTGTTCACCCCTTCCCCCCTCGCGGCTCTCTGTGTATATATCTACTCCTTCAACCCTTTGCGTGCCGCTGCGCCTTTCTAGGAGGAGCTGCGTGGTGGGAGGGGGGGGGGTCAAATATGTGTCGTGGGGATGATGAGACGAGAGGGGAGCACAGAGCAAAGCCCGACTTATTATTTTCTGTCGTTTCTCGCTGGGGTCCGTTCGGGGCCCCTCGG